AAACAAATTTAAACCGGTATATATTATTTTTTTTAATTTAATTGTATTTATTTTTGTATTTATTTATTGAATATTTTTATTATATATATATATATATATATATATAAAATTAGCATTATTTTAAGTGTATTTTAATATTAATATATATATATATATATATATATATATATATATATATATATATATATAAATGATTGGAAATGACCGCACTCCAAGGCCTTGATGATAGTAAAAATAAAATGGCAAACCTTGCCATCCTGATGAAAGCCCATGTATTGGGGCTGAAACGTCAATATTTTTAAATGATATAGAATAAAAGTTATATTTTATTTTTACTATCATCAAGTCCTTGGAGTGCAGTCATTTCCAATCATTTTTTTGTATCTTGTGCCTGACCAGCACCGGGCAATTACTCTCTAATCCAGGAGTGCAAGCATGTCGTTTTTTTTAATATATTTTAATATATATATATATATATATATATATATATAAAAAAAATATCAACATCCCCTGCACTCACGCTTGAAGTATTCCAAATGCCGGGCGCACCACCAAAGCTCCAATAGGTATAACTTCCACAAGAAAAGGCTGCTCTCCGGACTTAAAATCAAAGATTTTATTGAAAATGTTTAAAAATGATGACCAACGTTTCGGTCCCCGATCGGGACCTTCCTCAGGGTCAGAGACAACAGGACAACCTGTTGTCTCTGACCCTGAGGAAGGTCCCGATCGGGGACCGAAACGTTGGTCATCATTTTTAAACATTTTCAATAAAATCTTTGATTTTAAGTCCGGAGAGCAGCCTTTTCTTGTGGAAGTTATATATATATATATATATATATATATATATATATATATAATTATGTAGATTATTATTCAAAATACACTTTTAATAATGATTTATGTATGTGTATATAAAAGTACTTCTATCACACATATATATTTATATATATATATATATAAATATATTTATATATATATATATATATATATATGATCTAAGTACTTTTATTTAATTCAAAAACTATTTTACAACTTTTACTAACTTTTAAAAACTTTTGTACAGGCATTAGGGGGACTGGCGCAACACAAGCCGGCTATTCCGGCCATGTGATCGCAAAGATCACATGGCACAGGATAGCCAGGTCGGGTGGGGGGGGGTCTGCCTGAGCTCTCAGGCAGACCCCAGGATTGCGATCACCGGCAGGGTATCGCTAGCAATCAGGTAAGCGGGGATTCACTATCGGACGTACCAGGTCATTAACGGCCGTTTTTTGCCGGACGTACCTGGTGCGTCCAAGGTCAAGAAGGGATTAAAGTGTCACTTTAAGCACCATCACAGTAGCATTACAAGTGCAGAGGTCCTCTGTAACAGTTTTCCTTTATAAAAATTAATCAGTTTTAGTACTGCTCTTCTCCCTCTGATCTGTCCTATCTGTGTATGAAGAGGGCACTCCTTAGACAGGCATTTACACAGAATGTTGAGAATAGCCACTGCCAAAAATGTAATGGTCTGTGAAAAAAGTGAAAGCAGACGTGGCATTAACTTATTCAGAGATACCACTTATCAGTTCTGATGAGTGAAATTGCAGCTAGACACTGAGGTACACCCCTAGAGACCAGAATCAAGGCTTCTGATTGGTGGAACCTCTTTGTGGTCTAAGATTGTCTGCTGCTAGCAACTTATGCAAGAACTGCAGCTTCACAAACATCAAAAGTGAATATCGTTTTTGGGGGAATTAAAGGACCACTCTAGGCACCCAGACCACTTCAGCTTAATGAAGTGGTCTGGGTGCCAGGTCCTTCTAGGGTTAACCCATTTTTTCATAATTATAGCAGTTTCAGAGAAACTGCTATAATTATGAATGGGTTAAGCCTTCCCCCTAATCCTCTAGTGGCTGTCTCATTGACGGCCACTAGAGGCGCTTGCGTGCTTCTCACTGTGATTTTCACAGTGAGAGCACGCCAGCGTCCATAGGAAAGCATTGTAAATGCTTTCCTATGAAGACGACTGAATCTTGCGCGCAGCTCTTGCGCATGTGCGCATTCAGCCGGAGTAACGGAGGAGGAGAGAAGGAGGAGAGCTCCCGCCCAGCGCTGGAAAAAGGTAAGTTTTTACCCCTTTCCCCCTTCCAGAGCCAGGCGGGAGGGGGTCCCTGAGGGTGGGGGCACCCTCAGGGCACTATAGTGCCAGGAAAACGAGTATGTTTTCCTGGCACTATAGTGGTCCTTTAACATTTTATTGAGGTTTTATTTAACTACATAATAAATAATAAGAGAGAATACTGAACAACTGTTGGAGCATGAGACCAAAGGACACCTAAGGAACAGAGAAACCAGGGACAGAACCTGTATTAACTTGCAGATAGACAAAAAGAAGAAGAGAAGAGAGAAAGATAGCTAGAAAGAGTCGACAATCTATGCCAGGGTTGGAAGGCTCCGGGGGAGGCCCCAAAGGACAAAAATCTTCATTCAAGGGTTCCAGATTTTCAAAAACAAATCAGTGGTTTTGTTGATGGCTGACATAAATTTTTCCAAAAGGTGAGGATTTTTTCTAACTATTATTTTATTTATTTATGTTTTGCAGATTTTCAATGCATTATCGAAATAGTGTCCCTTTGAATCTTAACCATGTCAGGGACACTATGGTTACATTAGAAACGACTTATTATTGGCTTACCTTGTTTATTCAAGTTGTCTGGTATAAGCCTTCAGGAGCAGAAAATGTTTAAACAGATGTGCACAGTTATGAAAGTGTGAACAAGCACCAGGAAACTGACAAAACAAGCACCAGAATATTGAACATCTATAATTAATATACCCTGCTACGGTTTCTATGGCTGTTAGACACACTTGGTGTGTCCTTTACACTCTTCAATGTTCGACTCACATATGTAGGGAGATATTGAGGTGGAGAGAGCTCTAAATAATACTAGCCTCAAATACTTACTATATATTTGATGTCTAAAGATTACCAGAGATTTGCATTTTTACTGTCTGATATTAAAAGTGTGTAATCGTATAATGTTACATGGAATTAAAATGAGGCATTCAGGGTCACAATATCTTAATCAACAAGGGTCTGTGTCATTGTGTCAATATGGGCTTTGTAGAACCTAATCTGACATGGAATGCCTGCCTTTTTTAACTTTTGAGGTCTGTTAGACCAGCTGATGTTAAATAAGACTTTCAAAGTGATCTATGCGCCTTGTAGGTTGCTTCACCCTTAACCTTTCTCAGAGTGTTCAGATATTCTCAAAGATTAGTTGTTTAATTTGTTGTAGTGTTCCTTCATCTTACCTAACAAACAAAGAACTGATTAGGTGTCCTTAATTCTTATGAAGCTTAAACCACAATAAACAAGTCAATGGCATGAACCTCTAATTTTTGGTCACAAAGAAAAACCTTCATACATCATTGAAGGAATACATACTGCTGAAGCCTTTGCCTAAACTTTTTGCAAAATAAGCCACTGCAGCCGGGTTTTTGGCAATTAATATTGGGTATACTCTACTGGATTTGAGCACTGTCTTACTCTAGTTTGGGCCATTCAATACTGTTTGTAGTTAGGCTTTGGCATTGGGCATTTTACGAAACTAGACTGAAGAACAGAGCAGTTTGCTCTAAAAAAGGTTAACATTTTTTTTTAAATTACAGTTATAAATAAAAAGTGAGCATTACAAAAAACTGCATTTTTTCACAGTAGCAGTATTCTTGCATTTTTGTATCTAACCTCTGTCACTCTTGAGCTTTTAGTAACAATAGATAACAATAATCTTTATGAATAGATCTTTCCAACTGATGGAATTTCAAGACAATCAAATCTATACATGGCAATATTTTGCAAAATGACAGAGTTTCTGCCACTATTTCCCACTGGCTGAGCAGGCATTATCTTGCAAGATGCGTGATAGATAACTATTGCACTTTATTGTGCATGCATGTGATTAGCTATGCATTGTACATGCATGAGATTAGCTATGGTAGCGCCCACTATCTCGCAGGATCCTCTGTAGACCACAGTTTGTATTCTCAAACATCTGCTGCATTCGGATGTACCATGAGGGCAAGAAGATGGCAGTACTAAGGAAGGACATTTTAAATTGAATATATCTCCCTAGCTGTTCCCCCTTGGCCACCTTCACATGTTTAGACACCAAAAAACAACCCCAAAAGTGGCACGCTGCTTTGATGCATTTATGCAATGGAATATTTATTACTAAAAGATCACAATTCGACAACCTAAATCAGCATTACAATAGATTTTGCCAACTAATAATAAATACTTCATTATAATACCCAATAACAATTTATATTCCATAGCTGCCTGTATTACTATATAGCACAGTTTTTGGTTGGGAGGAATTTTATGAAGACCATATCACATCTGTAAGACATTGTGTTGATTTAACTCCCACATCTGGACAGGACGCCACATTCATTTTAAGTGCTCCGACCTATACCGTACATACAATGTTTCTCGTCTGACATCTGTATAAACCCTCTTATTAATGTGCATTTTTGATATCTTGAGCAGACTTTCCTTTTTTACGAACTTGAATATCGTGACCTGCAGACAATCTGGGGAGGAATCAGTAACGTCACAACTAAAGCTTTCTGACTCTAATCTAAAATCCCAAAGTGGATCCAACCTTTATACTACCTAAATAATGGTCAGCATTGTTACCTGACATAGATTAAGAAATAAAAAGAAATTAGAAATGAAACCAACAATATTATAAATGGACAGCTAGCTATTAATACTTGTGCAACGGCCCTCCAAACTTGAGGATGTGTTTTCATATAAGTTATGCAAAATAACTGAGCGAAAACATATATTGAACTTCTACAAACGTTACACAGATCTTACAAGAGAATGTCTGGGAAAAGCACTGGAAGAGGCGAGCAAGTCAAAGCATGTGACTCTAATCTTTGGCAAACTCTTGACAGCAGAAGGTGCCAGTAACAAACTTTGCAACAGGTTTACCACAGAGCAGTACATGGAGCAGTCCCACATGTGTGTTGTGAAGGGTGCAAAGCAGCACCTGACGTTTGGAGAGCTGGTTGAAAAAGCGGCATCTGATATGACAGTCAGGGTGCGAAACAGATCCAGATGTATTTCAGTTAACAAGCTATTAAATCAGCACCAGATGTTTGTGGAAAGCTATTATTATCATCTCTACCACACCAAATGTGATTGTTACATTGATGCTCGCTCCAATGAGGTATAGACAGGAAGGCCAATATGGTGCAAGTTCGTGAGAATCAAACATAGCTGCTAGAGGCACATTTTCATGGTGTGTAGGCAATATGAGTTATCTATTTTATAAGCTGTATTAAGAGCCCAGATTATGGAACTCCAAAGGAAGCCTGTGTTGGCTTAAATGTAATAATTCTCACATTACTGAGTAAAGACATGAACAAATAAATGGTTAAACACATTTTTATTAAATGGTTAAACGATTTTTACTAAAGAAATCACTAAATATTATGTATCGTATATTTCCCTGTAGGGCTGTTTTGGATATCACTGGGGTAATATTTTTAACCATACAGGTGCCAAAGGGAACGCATAATTTTTTCACTTTTTTTTTTTTTTAAATCTAAAAAAGCAATTGATCAGCAATGTACAAAATAACCAAATAGATTCTACGGCATATTTCTAAAGTACCAGTAACAGTTGACATAAAAGAGAATATAAGAACATTTAATGAAGTCAAAAAACACTAATGAAATTTATAGAACAGGCCTGTTTTTACTGTTTATATCCAGAAATGCTGAGCAGACCAAGAAATGTTATTAGTAAATTCTTATCTGGGAGTTTTCTGGCCACTAGTCAGAAGTTGATTCCCAGCTGTATTCTGATTGGCTAAAAAAATCAAACTGCCAAAAAAGAATGCTTGTTCGATTTCAAAAGGAACCTTTTTTTCTCATTTCACTTCCTGGATGATTTCCTAAAATCCAGGGCCTCTAGCAGACATAACAGGCTTAACAGACAGTAATCTGTCCCATAACTTAGCTATAACTAGCAGATCTGAACGTGTATCAATGTGATATTTTAGATCAAATGTTAGTTATGTTAAGGCAATACTGAAACATTAAATTCTGCAAAACGTTCAGCACTGTGTTGTTGCTCAGCCTATATTTCAGTTTTGTGGTAGGTATTGGTATTCTTCTCAGACATTTTCAGATTCTACTTGATCCAAAGTAATGGCTATTTGAAAAGAGGACTATTTGATTAGTGCAATTGGTGTTAAATGTCAGATGACTCCAAATGTATCTGATGGTGATTTAGATTAAAGCTGCAAATCCATTGTAGTGCAAAAATTTACTAGGTCTGCACTAGGCCATTGCTAAGCTTGCATTCTTACAGTATCACCTTCTTAGTTACATTGCTAAGGAACAAACACTTTGTGGTTATTTACTAAAGTTAGATTTCAAGGCAAATTCAAATTGAATTTCAGGGGGGCCGGGACACCAGTCTAAGCGGTGGCCATCTTTATGAGCTCTGACATCAGGCCCTTGAAATTGTAAAATTCAAGCTTATTTCATTACTAAACTCAGACACCAGTTATTAGCATCTAAGCTTAACAAATTACTATGCAACCTTGTATCTCAAGAACAATATAATTCCACAAGAACAAAGGTGTTATATTCACACTCACACTTTGAGGAGCTATATCAGCTCGGTGTTAAGAGCCTGGACGGAATAATCCCCGTCTATGGATTTCTTGAGGTTCAAGACCGTTGGTGAATTTATAGGTGTAAATATTCGTTACATGAAAAACAAGAGTAAAATACACCACATGGTATAGTACGTAAATATAAAATATTGTGAAAAAAAAGTGGATGATCCTACTTACATATACTAGAGCAACGACCTGCTCTAGTTTGGAGAATTTCAGGTGGAATAATCCCCACCTTGGGATATAGTGGACCCAGGTATAGCAGCAAAGCAGTATTGGATAGGAAGGAGGACAAAAGGAGTGACTGGATAGTTTAAAAAATATATATACTTTAATACAATAAGTGAAAAGTGAATAATAAACTATAAAACCAGTCCTGTATAAAAGTCCAAAATTCTTCCTCACTTGACGCGTTTCGCCGAAGCTTTCTCAAAAGTGAATCATTATTGACGAAGCGTTCACTTTTGAGAAAGCTTCGGCGAAACGCGTCAAGTGAGGAAGAATTTTGGACTTTTATACAGGACTGGTTTTATAGTTTATTATTCACTTTTCACTTATTGTATTAAAGTATATATATTTTTTAAACTATCCAGTCATTCCTTTTGTCCTCCTTCCTATCCAATACTGCTTTGCTGCTATACCTGGGTCCACTATATCCCAAGGTGGGGATTATTCCACCTGAAATTCTCCAAACTAGAGCAGGTCGTTGCTCTAGTATATGTAAGTAGGATCATCCACTTTTTTTTTCACAATATTTTATATTTACGTACTATACCATGTGGTGTATTTTACTCTTGTTTTTCATGTAACGAATATTTACACCTATAAATTCACCAACGGTCTTGAACCTCAAGAAATCCATAGACGGGGATTATTCCGTCCAGGCTCTTAACACCGAGCTGATATAGCTCCTCAAAGTGTGAGTGTGAATATAACACCTTTGTTCTTGTGGAATTATATCGTTCATACATACTGTACCATTATTTGTATTTTTGTTTCTCTTTTTTTTAAGCTACTCTGCTGGCCAGTATTTCTACAAAACGTATGTACATTTTCTGATTTTTAGCGCTGTTCACCTTTCTATTTTATCTGTCCATTTATCACAAGGTAGAGGAACACCTTGTTGGTGAACTGCTGCTCACCCCTGAGAAGAGAGCGCTTATTATTCTTTTGCATTTGATATCTCAAGAACAAGCCTGTTTTGTCCCCATTGACAAGCTTTGGACAATACAAGATTACTCAACCTACTCAAACCGGTCTGAACTCAAAACGATACTTTCTTATCTAAATTTCTAGAACTTGATTAACTCCTTCCCGACCGTGGACATACCTGGTATGTCCGATGGCAAATATGCACTTACCTGATCGCTGGCGATCCCTCGACGGCGATCGCAATGTGGGGACTTGCCTGGTATGCTAGGCAGTCCCCCTGTGGCGGGTCCAGCCTCCCCAGGCCATGTGATCGCGGGGCCCTCACGATCACATGACCGAAATAGCCGGCTTGTGCAGTGCCTGCAGGGGGAATGCCTGAGCTCTCAGGCTGTCCCCCTCATGCCTGCAAAAAAGTTTTCAAAGTTAATAAAATTTGTTAAAAAGTTTAATAAAGTAAATAAAAGTATATAGATAAAATATATATTTATATATATGATCGAACTACTTTTATATGCACATACACATACACAATCCATTATTCTAAGTGTATTTTAATAACATATATATATATATATATAAATTAATATTAAAATACACTTAGAATGACGTTAATTATATATTTATATATATATATATATATACATAAAATAAAAATAAATAAATAAATTGAAAAAAATGAAAAAAATTAAATTGAAAAAAATAATAAAATTAAATTGAAAAAAATTATATACCGTTTTAAATTTGTTCTAACTGTATTTTGATATTAATATACATACATATTTAAATCAAAATACATTTAGAATGACATTATAAATAAATATATGTATTTATATCTATCTGTCTATCTATCTATCTATATATATAGCTATATATAAATACAAATAATTAAAAAAAATATATATATATATATATATACAGATATATTTACATTCTATAAATACATTTATATAATATTTTTACATAATTAAGTAATTGTATTAATTACAATTTGTGGGACATGCCTGACAACCTAGGCAGAAGGTTCAGAGAATTTGGTTCACAAGCCCTATAATTAACCCTGTAACTTTCCAGGACACCATAAAACCTGTACTCGGGAGACTTTGCTTTACACAAATATTAGTGTTTTATCATCAGTGAAAGTGCAGTTTTTTGCATTTTTCACACACAAACGTCACTTTGACTGATGATATAATTGTTGTGATACGTTTTACTGTTTTGAAACGCCAATATTTGAGTTCTGCGAAGTTTCGCAAGTTATACTGAACCCCACATGTACAGGTTTTATGGTGTTTTCAAAAGTTACAGAGTCAAATATAAGGCTTGCATTTCCTTTTTTCACATTGAAATTTGCCAGATTGGTAAAGTTGTCTTTGAGACCGTATGGTAACCCAGGAATGAGAATTACCCCCATAATGGCATATCATTTGCAAAAGTAGACAACCCAAGGTATTGCAAATGGGGTATGTAAAGTATTTTAGTAGCCACTTAGTCACAAACACTGGCCAAAATTAGAGTTCAGATTAGTTTTTTCCTTTTTTAACACACACAACTATAAATGCTAACCTTGGCCAGTGTTTGTGACTAAGTGGCTACTAAAAAGACTGGACATACCCCATATTGAATACCCTGGGTTGTCTACTTAATAAAAATATGTGCATGTGAGGTGTGATTCAGAGATTTATGACAGATAACAGTGTTACAATGTCACTTTTGATACATTTTAAAAATATATATTTTTAAATAGCAATGTCCTACTTGTACTTATAGCCCTATAACTTGCAAAAAAAAAAGCTAAGAACATATTAACATTGGGTATTTCTGAACTCAGGTTAAAATTTAGAAGCTATTTAGCATGGGTGTTTTTTGGCAGTTGTAGATGCGTAACAGATTTTGGGGGTCAAAGTTAGAAAAAGTGTGGGTTTTTTATACATATTTTATAATGTTTTTATAGTAAATTATATGATATGATGAAAATAGTGGTATTGTAGAAAGACCATTTAATGGTGAGAAAAACAGTATATAATATGTGTGGGTACAGTAAATGAGTAAGAGAAAAATTACAGTTAACACAAACACCGCAGAAATGTAAAAACAGCCCTGGTCCTTAACGGTAAGAAAATTGAAAAACAGTCTGGTCACTAAGGGGCTAAAAGGACCTGTATATTTTTTCAAGAACACCCATTATAAAAACCGTATATTAATGAGTTATGTGATTTTCTATAAAAGCCTGCAGATCAACATTATTATGCAGCTGATTTCTCTTACATATACAGCTTATTGGATAACCTTTGTTTAACTTTAAAATACACTAAAATAAAATTGAGCCTTAATATATAATCTATATATATATATATATATATATATATATATATATATATATTGTAGCGGAATAGAAAACTAAAATATACTTTTATTCCCTTTTGTTCGGCTGTCCGTATGCCCCGTTCATTTACCTAACCCTCTCGCTGTGTGGCCCTTGTTCGTACCTTCATAATCATCAACAACCCCTGGTTATTGGTTATTAGTTCAAGTGCTTTCCCTGTGTGGCCGCCGTTCATATAACGGAACGTACATGTTCAAAAATTGGTGGCCATTTTGTCTCTCGAACGAGGGCAGTGGCACATGGTCATTGACAGCATGGAACTAATTTTGGATACGCAACCCCGTGACCGCCAGGAAACTGGTACAGCTACCCATACAACTTCCCGAACAGTTAGGAGAATGGCGTTTGGGAGGCATAAACTACTGAAAAGAGGGAGCATTTGTATACTAACAGCAAGGGGATAGATTCATCAGTGTTCGTGTGAGGACCCCCGAAAGATGACTGACAGTTGCCTTGTTTTCTCTGGAACTGTTTTAGGGCATCTCCTTTGGCCAACCGGTCAAAACTTCATTCGAATGGCGTTCCCAAACCACCGAAGGGATCTGAGTGATATTTTGGCAAATTGGGCTCTCAGATCCAAGCTATTCGGTGATACGTTTGTGGGGTTCTGAAGTTAATAAAATCACCAAAATCAACAAAATGAAAAGGTATTTTTGGATGTTTTTAAATATTGTAGATTTTTCTGTACCTGAGAGATAATGGAGTTGTAGTTTTTTGTCACTCAATTATCTCTTAGGCACAGAGGATCTTGGGAAGAAAAGCCCTGTAATTGTGACTAGGAAACGCCATGCTAGGGGCAATGTATAAAAGCTGTGTGTGGCAGGAATAAAACCAGTTGTACTCCCAGAACTGTGTGTCGTCCAGTTGCTGGGGAGGAGGTGGGATATCTACTTGGTATTTTTCTTGTTCCTGATTTTAATCTTGGGTGTAGGACTAGGGCTCCGCTATAACTCACTAGTTACGGACTGTGCTATTTCTAAATACTCTCCTGACTGAAGAGGACATATATCCATTCCAAGTTATAAAACACATTTCAAAAAGTCTTTTATTGGAAAACAATTAACAATTTCAATACATAATATACATATTGTAAGCAAATTGTAACAGAAAATCCTTACCCCAAACAGAGCAGCTTAGAGTTCTGCTGCATAATAGTACCCAAAAAAGTTAACAATTCACATTTCTGCAAAAATGTTCTCTCACAATCACAAACAAGTTTTCTAATATTTCTTCCTTATGGTAGTGCGCAAGTTTGCAATTAAACGTCCAGCTGTGGAGAGTAAAGCTTCACCCTTGTGTGGGTTGTTGTCAACACAGCACTGGCTTTTGTTTATTGTTGGAAATCTTTAATATCAAATAAATTACAGAATTACTAAAGACTCAACTGATTTAAGCAGATTCTAAAATATACATTAATCAAATTCAACACTTCTGGTACATGTACCTTCTAATCATCTATCACAAAGCCACGTGAATTATAATCAATACAATTATACACAATATCAATTCGTAATCAATACAATTATACACAATATCAATTCATTGCAAATATTTTTGTTTCATAACCATCAAATATTAATTTACATAGTTACCCTTCCGTTAAATGTGTACCTCTGGTAAATTTTAATTGACAAACTCACTTTCTGAGGGAGTAGTAATATATTTGATTCTTTAACTGCATTTCAGATACAACGTACTCATGTCTTTACAATGAGTTAAATCATGAGTGATTTCCCCATTGGCCAACAAGTGACATCTAGTCATTGATTATTCATTCACACAATCGATTAACAGCTACTTGGCCAATTTATTAGTCCCTTTGAATCCATTTAAAATATCAGGTATCTTTTACTAAATGCTAACATAATGTGCACTTATACAGCATATTCTCACTTTTAGTAATTTATGGAGTACACACAAACTGCAAAGGGTACTGGATCTGAAGAATATTACCGCAGCCATGTACATTGAAAATAAATACACAGTCTTTCTTTGCAGATTAATGTGCCGTTGCTTTATGTTAATAAACTTTATTATGATGTTTTTGTGAACAAGAGCACTTCAACTTAATCACTTTATTTAATGTACTGGAGCTATTCATTTATAACACTCTGTTCATTTATACCTCTCGGTGACAGCATGTTTGGGTTGTACTAAACCACAGATAAAACGGTTAGAGAAAATGAAATGATGTTAAGGGTTGATTTAATAGCTTCCCTTAAGTGCAATTTAGCCAGTGCCTCAATTCCATCAGGGTGTTAAGCAACGTATTTCTTGTTCCATAATATAGTGTAAAAGGTTCCTGGGCTCAAACAGTTAAATATATAAATACCACCACCACTACTCCTGCTTAATTTCAGAATGTAATAGGAATAGTCACAGATGATAGACATTTCATTATTAACTTCTGTAGTAAGGGCTATCAGCATATTCATGTAGCTATCTCAAATTAATTAGAAATGCACTGGTCTAAAGCTTAGCATCACTTCTAAATATTTATACCCTAAGACAAACAAAAAAGTGTGCATATGTTGGCATAAAAGAATATGCAAGCCAAATGTATTGAGGACGAGGTTACATCAGCACATTATTATGTGACAAGGACTTTGCAACCATGTTCTTAACACAATAAGGTTTAATCGTTAAATAGAGAGTACATGGTGACATGAGAACCAATTTAAAAACAAAACATAGGTATATGAAAAAAAAAATTTTAAGTCATAAGAATTTGCTACTTTTGTTAACTCAACACAACTCACTCTATAGTGAAATAAAAACCATGCTGTGTTTTGGGCATG